TCATTGATACTTTAGGTTATAGAGGGGGAGGCAAAGGTTATGTGCCACCCTGTATGTTTGACAATTTCAAAAAAGTTTAGAAAAATGTGTCAGACTTATGTGGCAAATTGCGAAAATCATAGCTTTTCAACTGTCTTCCGCTCAAAGCTATAAAAAAAAATACAGTGATCATTCCATTATTTTCTAGTTAATATTGATAGCTTATGTGAGAATGGCACACGAAGTTTACAAAGTGCGGCTTTAAACCACAAGATACATGTTGGCATATGTGAATCAGCTTTGACAAGTACTTTCGAATCTTTCTCGGCAACCTTTCGCATCGTATATAATATGCATTTATTTAAAATTGTGCAGTCTGAGTAACGTATATTTTTTAGCTGAAACCTTGCATTATTCGCAGAATCAATATTTTTTCTCTTTTTCTCCTTTTTGCGGAACTTTACACTACTTCATCATAGAGGAATAACATTTTTGGTTTGATCGATAAACTAGGCATTCCTTCAGTGCAAGTTCGTTCAAAAACGGTTTACAACCATCCCTTCACGTAGTCTACACATCTACATGTCACTATGGGATAGGATACAGCATAAATATCTCTAGAGAGAAGCGGCAACGCTGCTTTAATATACATACGATGTCCGTCGATGATTAATGCATTGAAGTGCTATTTGGTTTTGTTGATTTTTAATACGCCTTTCACTAGTATAATCAATCCATAGCTTCAAACAATATTGGACTAGTCTTCGATTAGCTAAAGAAAAAATCGGTAAAAAGTTATTTTAAACTAAAAAATAGCTATTTGTTTTCATAATAAATATATAAATGTCCTTACCAAAGCGTTTTGCTTTCAAGTATTTTCCTGTATCTATCAATTCGACTGTGATATATTGTTTCCATGTATGAAAAGTGGATGCTAACAGATGTAAATTATAATGATATTCAGCTCGAATCATTAAACGCCATTCTTTTCTTGTTTCCCACCATTCATTTTTCCATATATTAAAATGTTTTTGCATTAAATGTTGATTATAATACTGGCGCATCGATTTCAATATTGTACCAAATACTTTTTTCTGCCATAAATAATAAAATTTTCTTGCCACTACTTGTTCACGTAAATCATTAATAGATTTTGGTGTTCTTCGAACAACTTTTGTCGGTGATGGTGAACGTCGATATTGTTTTGCACTTGATATGGGTATACGACTTTTTTTCACAACTGTTTGCCGATCTAAAAACAAAAATAGAAAACGTTATATAATCTCATCAATTCTATGTTATGTAGGGATGCACCAAATCCTGCGACTATGTCTCAAAGGTTGCATATTTTTGATATTTAAAACCCTAAACTTTAGCAAACTTTTGTGTCAGACATAACCAGTTTTATCTGTTCTATCCGAAACTAG